AAATATCGAAAAATATACAGCGCGCGAATTTTAAATGAGAATTTCCGAAAGCTTTTCGGTCACAATGTATATAACCTAAACCTTTAACTATTTTTATATAATATTACTGAAGCACGAAGTAAGTTTCATGGGTGTTGATTGATTGGTTGCAGTGGCAGGTTATCGGATAACTTTCCCTGTACCTTAATTAGTATTTTTTGCCGTGTTGCTAACCCTTTTCTCGCAAGAATCCTTAAAATAGAAGAATATAAACTTACTCCATCCCATCGAATTTAAATTATTTAAAAGGTCCTTCGGCTTTACCGATGAGTAGTCTAATAAGCTGTCAAAGAAAAATCTTCAACAAAACCAATTTCTTTAGGACGAAAAGCCGGTCATTCACGGAGAAAGTATTTAATGTTTTGTTTTTCCTGCCGGTTTCCATAACTTTAGTAGTGAGGATTATAAGGAATACACAGTTTCTCTGCGTGGATTCCTATGCACTAATGAGGAAAAAATTAATTATAAATTATATTACATAGATATTCATTTAAAAAATAAACATATTTTTTTAAAAATAATTATATTTAATTAAAAAAATGAGTTTTTAAATTTTAAATTTCTTATATACTTTTATATTAAGATAGTTTTCAATTGATAAAGAACTGCAGTAAGCCTTGCACGATCCCTTTTGATGAGTTCCCAATATATAGTTTTATCATTGGTGTACTTTTGTATAATAAAAGCACTATAATACTTTGCTAACTGCAGTGAATTCTGTTTCTATTCATAAATATTAGATACTATATACATTTCTATAATTAATAGCATTGCTTAATTGCTATAAAAGTTCTAGCATTTGTTGGAGAAAGCCAACAAAGATAATAAAATATTTTGAATTATAATTTAAACATATACTACTTGTATGTTTGCTTACGTTATCAACTGAAGAAATTATACCCCTTAAAGCATATTAAGGTATAAAAACTTTAAAATATACTAAAATCAATTTCAGCTTTTAATTTAAAAATTTTTGAAGATTTAAAGATTTATGTTAGTTTAAAAATAAAAACTTTAATATAACTTGAAGAAATCTAAAACTATTTTATCTACGTTAAGTTTTTTATAGTCACCA